CTTGCCCAGCTTCTTGGCTCATCGCAAACGAGCTCCTCCAATCAACGCGCATGAGCATTGTGAAATGCTTCAGCATTGGCGTTGGTACGATTGAGGGGCGAAAACTGTCTCCTCTCCAATTTTGCATAGCGCAAGCAAACCTTGGCAAGCTCGCTGATGCCCGCATGACTGGTATTGGCCTCAATCCCCCGATGGAGGCAGTCTCAGCTTTCCATGCGTTTGCGGATGGCTCTGCTTACGACACCGACTCGGCGACCATGCTGTACTCCATGGTGTGTGATGCCCTTATGTCGTGGCCGCAAGCCATGAGGTCAGCCCCCAATGATTTTGTGAGACTGCTATTGCTTGATATGGTTTCTTCTCTTCGCCGTGGGTTGCGCGGTTTCGTCGATGATACTCGAGTTCCTGTGGCATCGCTTGGCCATGCGACTGCCGCGATTCAGGTCCTGAGCGAAGCAGCATCTGCGGACCAGTACGTCTACAAGGCCGGAAAGAACTGTATCTTGGCGCATGCCTTTCCATAAATGAAGCCTCTTATGCTTCAAGGCTCCTCGGTCGAGTTTGTTGATTCTCACATTCAGCTCGGAGTCTCATTGGGCACTCAGTTCGATGTGCATCCTTGCTCGTGGCGCTACGAAAATGCACATCCTGATGGCAGAGCTTTCTTCGGCAGGATTTCCCATGCATGCGCTCCTCCTAGCCGTGCATACAAGAATGCTGCCTTCGGTGGCCCGTGCAATTGAGCATAATGTTCAGGTCCCGTTTTTTGACAAGCAAATCAATGCAATGCAGGCCTCTTGGTTCCGAAAGATTCTTGGATGCAAATCAGCTCCTCGAGTGGTTCTGATGCATGAGCTGGGAACCCTCGATCGCTTGTCAGCAGTGGCGTGGAGTCGGGCTATCATGGTGCGGCGGCGTGCCCGCATTGATGCCCGTTACAAGGTTGAAAATTTTTCATGAGATTCTGGTTCTGGCTGAATCCGAGCCCTCCTCTTGGTCGGCGGCCGTGGTACGCAAAGAACAGGAGCTGGGCTTGCCCATGTTAGATTTTGATGGCTCCAATGCCTCTGCAAAGCAGACTAAGGCTAAGCTATGCCATCATGCATCCACAGTGGTTCTTCCGGCCATGCGCGCACGCGAGCAGACGACTTGGCATTCTTCTGCACGGAATCTTGAGCACTGGCAGAGCTACAGTGGGTCGCACTGGACAGTACACCAGCTCGCAATGTTCGGGATTGGCATCAGAGATGCTCAAGCTTGGCCCCAGCTGAAGCTCCAAGGCTACTTCTCTCACACAGGCTCTGGACCTATTGCTCCTTGCCGTTTTTGCGCCAAGGAATGCTTGGAAGCCCTTGAACACTTATTCTTTGAATGCGATGTGGCAATGCATTTCATGCAACATGTTCCGGCGTGGGTGGACCACGCCACTCGGTATGCTGTTGGAGCCAGCTTGAGTGACCTCCGGGATGTCATTCTATGGCTTGCAGCAGTGGGTACTCTCCTGAAGCACCTGAACAAGTGCCGGGGTTGTTGAGAAAATAAAGAGTGCGCAGCTGCTTGATGTGTTTTCTCATGTCCACTTGAGTAGTTCGCGTCCATCACACATGATGCATACGGCCTGGAAGTCCATCTGTGCCTGGTGCCTCGCTTGACACAAGACGCTCCTTGGAACCTTCAGTTCGGTGCAATAACTGAAGCCGCGAGTACTCTGGACTCTGAACCCACCGAGCCTTTCATTCCCTCCGCTTAAAATCGGGTCCTGGAGCGGCTGATGGCAAATTGTCTGACTTCTACGTGGTCTTCTTGTTTTCATGTTGTTCAACAGTTCTCCTGGAAGTTTTCCTTCTAATACGCACACTACCAATCGGTCTTCTCTCTCCCGAACTATCGCTGTCACCAATCTTATTTATGGTTGCGTGACCAGCGGAGTAGCTTCATCTGACATGATGTGTACGGCCTGAAAGCGCAGCTGCATCTTGTGCTGTGCTTGACAAGAGATGCTCCTTGGAGCTTCCACCTTTCGGTGCAATAACTGGAGCCGCTGATATCTTGAGGCTTCTGAGCTTTGGTTACCCCGCTTAGGGCTGCATCCTGGTGCTGCTGATAGCAACTTGCCGGCTGCCTCGTGGCTTAACCTCCAAATGGAGCACGCAACAAGCGATCCGCCTTCTCTCTCCCGAGCTATCGCCGTCACCAATCCTGCGTAGGGGTTGCGTGAATGGTGTGCTGTTCGCGTGGGATGCCTGGCTGCCGGGGATCGCGTTGGGCCATCTGCTCAGCCAGTCTCTGACGTGCAGATGGCAAATCCTCGCCCTTCCAGCGAGTGTGCCTACTGAGTCCGGTTGCGGTAGGCTAGGCCTTCGACCCAGCACATTGGCCGACCTCGCAAGAAAAAAAAGCCTTAAAGGAAACAAAAATTCCAACCCCCCCCCTCCATCCATCAAGGCGAAAACTCACTCAAGGCGTGGTGATGTTGCTGCTACATTTTCTAGTTTTCTTTGAAACTATGTTGTTTGCAATTGGTTTCTTTTCAACGTTTGGGCAGCTGCTAGTTCCGATTTTTGTGGGTAAGCAGAGCAGCCACTTGCGGGCCACTGCATGAAACCGTGACCTGTTTCTGAGACTGTTTGGGGCGGCACACGGGGATCCCCGGTGGTGCAAGGCATTCCTGTTTCAGCCTTGCCCGGAAGGGTGGAAGGTGTGGGAGATATAAGGAGTGATAGTGTGACATTGTTTTGGGAGTCCGTCACTTGGTGGAACTCGCTGGGAATGAATGTTTAATATTCATGAGGAGGTATGGCCGTGAAGGGAGATACCCAGGATCAGCTAGTTGCGACTAGCTTGCAGTTGTTGGTTGATACAGTGTCGATATGCACTTGGTTGATCCAAGCCGGCTTGAAAGCGCCGTTTTGTGGCCACGAAATGGCTCAGTCACGCCGTACATAATGCAGCGCCTTCCGACCGCTGCGACTAATGAACGCGCCTTGTCAAAACTATGGGCGGACATGTTTTCGGCATGTGCATGTTGTGATCCCTGTTGTTGGGTGCCCGATGTTGCTACACTGCTGCAAGGCAATGTGCAACTCAACGTGGCCATCGAGAAGCTAGGTTTCAGAATATACCACTGGCGGCTCGCCTTGCAAGCCTTGTTAGCGTTGTTCTTGCTGCTTTGTAGCTTGCATTTTTCGATTGCATATTGGTGCATGAGGTATGTTTTCCTTTGTTGCGCAAGCGAGACGTGGCTGCATTCGAAAAATAAATCAGCAACGCCAGTGTTTCTGCACATGCTGTCATTAAGTGCCTCCTTCATTTGTTGCTCGTGCAATCACTGAATGCCTGGCTTGTTTCGGAATCGGGCGCCGTCCCTGAGGTATGGGCATGTATGGGCTGGTTGTCATCGGCCGTCGCGATCCGGCTTGAATGAGCCTAACATAGCGTCTGCTGCATTGACACGCAAGACTGGCAGGATGTTGTCGCAACGATCAATCATCAGGTCTTCATGATGGATGCAGCCGGGGAGCACGAAGGTGATTGGGTGAAGCTCACATCCTCCAGCCAGAGGCAGACAACGTGTGGCGCGTGCATTCGGTGTCCTAGGTTTCACAGGGATTTCGGTTTCAGCTCAATGGGTGGAGTTTGAGCAGCATGCCGGACACCTCCCCGGTGGCTGCTCACGGGTGCATATGGCCGTGAACCGGAACCGGCAATCTCCCACTTGCTCCAGGCTTACAACAGAGGACAAAAGTTTGATGCTTGGTTTGGCCATCGCAGCTTGATCTGCATTCGCGAAAGTTTTGCGACCTGGCCGTTCCATAAACCCACCCCATGTGCACCAGAGGCGGCTGGTGGCTTTGCAAACGCCTTAATCGGCGTCGGCAGCGATTCCATTGGCAGGAGTGCCTGACCGCGTGCCAGGGGCTTCATGAGGTGCCCCTATTAGTCGTTTTCTTTGTTGCTCAGGCCAGGACTGTCATCCCTGGCAGGATTACCACCATCTTCATTTGTATCTTGATGTGCGATTTCGCCGTGGCGGGATTTGGCATGGTCCGGAACAAGCTGGCGTTACCTGGTATTTTGCGGCATTCGTGAAGAGCTCTGGGCCGGCATTAAGGAGTGCATGTGCCCAATGAGGTTGATGGCCGTGTTGACGCTATGTCCCTTTATGAAGGATGGCCCTTGCTTGCCAGCAGGCCGCTCTCATCTCTGACAGTGGCATGACATAACCCACGTTCATCTCATACCGCATAGTATATGACTTGATACGGTATTATATGACCAATGACTTGTTATCATATGTTATGATTATCTTTTCTATAGACATTGCAATCAAAAAAATTGTAGAACATCACAAATATGATATAAGAGAACATAGTATAATATTTTATATGATACATTACTATAGAATAGTGTAGTAGAACAGAATGTAAACTGTACAACATAATCTTGTACAACATGATGTAATACAAATATGCTATGATACAATATACTATATTTGCATATAGAATAAAACCATATACTAGGCTACAATACAACATGATGTAATTAATCTAATGCAGCGAACTAGAATAGAAACAACATGGAACATAATTAATATGATGTAACAAAATATAATGTAATACAACAAATTTATATACATATATATATATAAATATGTATGGTTTAGTACAGTACATAAGAAGATGCGATAGTATTGTGTATTCTTGTAAATTTTTGAAAGCCGGTAATGTAATGAAATATAATACAAGACAACATAGTCACACATTGTGATGTTGTGTAATTTAATAGAAACGACTACAAAATAGTATAATGCAACATATTGTAAAAAAATGCATACTTGAAAATCTTACATAAATTTATGTATCATAATGTGTATTGGGGTAGAATATAATAGAATGGAACAGATTATAATCGATACTTGCGCCTGGTTTGGCAATGGCAACTAGAGCTCATATCAGCCAATACCGGCCTTGACATTTAGTTGTCCCTGCACAGGTGTCCTTCTCGCCGAGTGGCTACCGCTGAAATGGCGCAGCATCGTCGCGGCATCATTACTTGCGTGCGCAAGAGTTGCACGTCCGGTTCTGCACGTCTAGTAACTAACAGGTACGCTTCAAGTTTCTCTCCATATGATGTGGAACGTGGGACGTTTGGGGAGACTTGGTCAAACTGGTTGGTTGGGGCATGTTGGGTGCAAGCTTGCACACGATCCTCTGATGAGCTGGATGTTGAGCCCAGGATAACGGTGCTGTGGGTTGCTTTGCCTCCGGCCGTCAATTGGAAGGCCTTTTTTGCCGCGGCCACTCGATCTATTTGGGGCTTGACGGAACGAACGGTTCAATGATGCTCAATGCCAAACCCCCTGAACCCTCAAGTCGAAAAGCCGAACTTTAGGTGGCTGCCTTGCCTTTGGCACTCACCCTTGGCTTCGCTTTGCGTGGGAGTTCCTTGGCATTCCGCTCAGCCAGACTGGCACGCACCAGGAAGCATTCTGGCGGTCCCCTAAACCCTAAACCGTTAAACCCTACACCCTAAACCCCTACAGGCAACTACGAGAGCCCACGCTGGTTTGCAGTGGACGGCAACATGACCCGGTGCATTGAGCAGTTGCACCGAGTGAAGGACTTTCTGGTTGGATGGCGGCTTTGCTGTTGAAAGACAAATCTGAACGTTTGTTCGTTCATGATTCTCGAATGACGGGTCCCGGACAGGAAGCAGACGTCGACGGAAGTGACGATGCCATCAACATTGCCAAACTAGACCCCGCAACTGCGAATGCGATTATGGCAGTCCATGCTATCAAGCAGGGTCTCGCTCACCATTTTGTCGCAACCCTAAACCCTAAACCCTATTCGAGTTGAGGCAATGGAAGGCCAGGAAATCCAGCATCGCTCCTGGCACGATCGAGCCTTCCTACCAACTGGGTAGTGCACTAAATTGGTTTCCCTTCTGAGGTCCGCAGAATAGTACGGCACCCTTATAAAGAGCACTCTGACAGGGACCCTACTTTAGAGAACTACCCAACTGCAAGTGTTGGTTTCAGTTTCAGCCAGGCTTGTCGCTGCACTTCTGAAAGCATAGGCAAGAGGGCTGTTTGCATTTGCTAGCTTTGCCGTACTTCCTAGCATAATGCCTCCGGAGTGTAAAACGTAAGCTTTGTTCCTAGGACTGTCAGAGCTTCTTGCGCCTGATGTGCGGTCTCCGCTGCTGGTGCTTTGCTGCGCTTACTTCATGCTACGCCGGCTGCAGATCAGGGAACGAGATCGGCAGATTGCACTTCTTTCGTTAGATATAGCTAGTCTTCGTGCGACGAATCGCGCCCGCGGGGCTGCCGGGATAGTCGGGGTTCTGGATAGGCTTTACATAAAACCTAGTTTGAGATAGGGCATCGGTGAGCTTCTGCTGCCGCCACGCGTTGCATTCGTGCCAAGGCTTGGTTACTACAACAGCGGCTTGTTCTACTGGCTTATCGAGTACTTCAAGTATCGCGGCATGGAGCTGTACGTTCCGCCGGCGCTTCGGCCAGCAGCTGCCACCAACGTTCTGAGTTTAGGGTTTAGGGATGCAAAAAGGGTTTAGGATTTTGGGTTTAGGGAGGGTTGTGGGTTTGAGGTGTTCATCTACCCAACTGGCACGAGTCGTCTTTTGCTGGTTTTGCATCCAGCTCTGAGGCCATGATGGCAGGACCATGCGGGAAAGTGGCGGGGGTGGTACTGCTCGTTCTGGGCGGCCCTGAGATCTGCGTCATTGACCGACACTTGCCGCAGCAGTCATCGGCAGTCCTCGAATTTTGGGGGCTGTATGACGCCCTATGAGCCACATACATGTGTATGTATATGTATGTATCGTAGCCTCGGCAGGGCGAGAGGGAGAAATTTAAAAGCATGTATGTATATAGATGTGGGTTATGTAACTGTTCACTTGATAACAATATTCTTTGTTGATTTTTCATTATACAGATGGGCTTGATTGTGGTCTTAAGCCTGCAACCCTTACTAAGGATTTCGCCGCGTGCCTCTGATACAGCTAGGCTTCTTCGGAGCGGGCGCTTTGCTTCTTATGATTGCTGCGACCTCGAGCCCTATCCTTGCACCTCGGTTACAAGATGCAGGGATGTTGCGCAGAATCAACTCGTAGCTGTTGATTACATGTCTCTTATAAGACTCCAAATAGCCCCGTGTAGGCACTAGTTAAGGGTTCTATATGCCAAAGTATGTGCTAGTTGTATACTTGGGTTTCACAGTCACGTGGCTTCAACGGCCTTCGTTTGCACGCATCGACAAACCAAGGCGGTGGCAGCGCTGTTCATTTCTGCGATTTTCGAAGAAATGATTTGGAGTGTGGCAGGCGGCATTCGAACGTGGGAAGCGTACAGCCAAGACGATCCTCATACATGTCATTATCATGCCCTAGAGCCTGCTTACATATGAAACGCAATTCTATACACTTATCTAGGGACAGAGCCGATCACATGAAGATAAAGATAACCGGGATTCTAGATGCCGAAGCAGGTGTTGATTCACGTGACCAAACGTGAGGGTTGTGCTTGCCATGCTTCTGCAAACACTTTTCGGGCAAGCTGCTCAGTTTACTTCCCAATCTCGAAAGCATGGCTTTCCTCGCTTTGCCGCTCTTGGCTGTTGCCCCGCTTCTGGCGCAAGCGAAGAAGCCACATGTGTTGTTCATTCTGGCAGACGACTATGGCTGGGGCAACATGGGCGTGCACCGGCGGGATGCCGCTTCCACTCCCGAGGAGCAGCAGGGTAAGGTGGAGGTGCACACGCCGAACATGGATGCCTTGATCGATGAGGGCATTCTTTTGGAGCGGCACTACACCTACAAAATTTGCTCTCCGACTCGATCCTCGATCCAATCGGGTCGCCTTGCAGTGCATGTGAATCCCGTCAACTCAGCGGTGACCTCCCGCAACTACAATGACCCTGTCAGTGGATATGCCGGCATCCCAAGGAACATGACAGGCATTGCTGAGAAGTTGCGGGATGGAGGCTACCGGACGCACATTGTTGGAAAGTGGGATGCGGGCATGGCGACTCCCGAACACTCACCGAAAGGCCGCGGTTATGAGAGCTGGTATGGTTACTACCAGCATGCCAATGATTATTGGCACAAGAGCACCGTGTTTCTGGCTACCGGTGAGATCGATGCCTGCTTAAACCGCATGCGGGATCTTTCAATGCACAACGAGACATATTCCGGCCCCGTGCGCGATGCGATCTCCTTGTCAGCAGCCTGCCAGGAGGACGAGGAGTCAGATCCCGGTTGCTATGAAGAGCATCTCTTCAAGGAGCGAGTGCTGAAGATCATTCAGAATCACGACACGTCAAAGCCGGAGAATCCGCTCTTCCTCTTCTACTCCTTCCACCTGCTCCACACGCCCCTGCAGGTGCCCAAAGCCTGGCTATCTAAGCTGGACGCCTTGGTTTCTGCAGCCGGCGGCAGGCCCATTGACAGCGAGAACAGGCGACTCTATGCTTCCATGACACTGTACCTATGGTCTCCATATGTCTCCATTGTAGCTCCTTTTTTTGGGTTTAACCAAATCTATATTAAGGATCCTAAAAGGTAACCCCAAAAAGGAACTACAATGGAGACTATAGGTACATGGATGCCGCCATCGGCGAAGCTGTCGATGCACTGAAGCAACGGAAGATGTACGACAACACACTGATTATTTTCACCTCGGACAACGGTGGCCCCATCTACGAGCCCGGTGCAGCCTCCAACCATCCCTTGCGAGGTGGCAAGTACACCGATTGGGACGGTGGCGTACGTACCAACGCTTGGGTTTCGGGCGGGTTTGTGCCCCTGAAGAGGCGAGGGGCAAAATACACCGGCATCATCAACGTCGCGGACTGGTATGGTACCCTTACGCAGCTGGCGGGTGTCGACATGACCGATCACAAATCCGAGAAGGCTAACCAGTTCCTAAAGGAGAAGGGCTTGCCACTGCTTCATCCAGTGGACAGCGTGCCGCAATGGGACAACATCATCAATGACAAGCCCGGCCGGACAGGGCCAATGCATCTCAGCTCACAGGCTGTACTGCGCTGGCCGTTCAAACTGGTGACGGGCAAGCAGGTCCTTAGTACCTGGCAGGGGCCACTATATCCCAATTGTTCTACGGTGCACTCACTCAAGGACCAAAACGGGCCACTGCCGCCACAGCAAGACATGAAGGTTTTTGGAGAGCCCCTGCCGGTTGCCCAGTCGCAGGCCGAAGTCGACAGACAGACCTGGACGATCGACTGTGGGGCTGGCTGCCTTGTGAATGTCGAGGAGGATCCCACTGAGCACGTCAACCTGGCACACGATCCCAAGCATGCCGGAACTCTCAAGTCTCTTCAAGAGATGCTGGAAGCCTTGAACAAGGACCTTTTCGACCCTGAAACCCATACAGCAGTCCATCGAAGCCCAGAGCAGTTCCCAGGCCGTCCCAAGCAATAAACCGTAAACAGGACTAAACCCCAGCGCTTCAAAGTGTCTGTGCGGTTTCGAACCCTCCATATGCAATCTTATAAAGCCATACAGGCCTATAAACCCCAAACCTATGTAGACCACAAGAAGGACCTCTTCAATCCCGATCGCGGTCTCGATCGCATCGAGGCCTGCGAGATGGCCATCGATCCCTGGCGGCTGAGTTTTGTAAACTGTGCACGCTTTGAGGAGAATCTTAGTCTGGAAGCCTTTTGAATCCTACACCCACTAGTGACTGCTGAACTAGATGTTGCGACAGTCCGAGAGAGACACTACGTGCAGATACTTTGTTAAGGGCACCTAGCCCAGCTGAAACTGCACTGCTGCGCAGCTCTCTTGTGCTGGATTACGATTTAACGCGTCGAAATCGGAATCGCTGCAATGCTTCCCACTGGTCTCCTTGCAACATACCAACAGTAACAAATGAGCGTTGGCTCTGACATCATCTACCAGCCTCTATCGCCGCTAAAGGTAATGGATTGAAAAGCAGTTTCATGCTGCGTGGGCGATGCATCTGTTCTCGATGCTAGACCATTCAATCGAGTCCAGGTATTGTGAGTACTGACAATATCCGCTCTGGCACGATCCACTGAGAGTCATTTCGTGTTTTTCGGCCTGTCACCATTCCACTGTTCATTTTTTTGCTTCTGCACAGCTACGGCATCGAGGCTTCAAACAAAATAGGAGAAGCCCTTCTCACATTCGTATTCAACCCCTGCCCAATGGGAAAATTGTATTTAAGCAAAAAGAAGCAATCTGAAAACACTTTGCATCGAAAGAAATTTCCAGGCAATCAAAACCAATTAGAGAGCGACAGGACGAGCCCTGCAAAACACAAAGCTTTCCAAGGGAAGGAAAGAAAGAACGAGATAAAGAGAGCAGAAGGAAATGTTGAAAGAACGGACAGAAAGACAGAACGTCAGAAAGGTATAGGGAAAGTAGAAGGAAAGAAAAGGTAAGGGTCCTGATGCGTCGGCATGCCTGAAGGTGGATACTGATGAAAGTCAGGTAACTGCATGGAGTTAATAAGTCAGATTTGGATAGTTGAGAATTTAGTTCTGAATGATGTGCAAAGAGGATGTTGACATGACTGCCGGCATGTTGTTGAACCTGAGATGTGAAACACTGTCCTGTTGACTAGTAGAGTGTCAGCTGCTCGATGAATTCACTGGAATGTCATCTAACACACTGCCAGGTGACTCGCTCAGCAACGCGGGAGGCAAAAGACTTTAAAACCAAAAGCCCTAAGCCTCAAGCTGTGCTTTGTCTTCCCTTGTTTCACGCCGACGTGTATCTGTGGATCCTCGCCTGGCATGCCCCAGTTATGAGAGCCCAAACCCCAAGCAGAAAAACCGTCGAACTCCGAACCCCCACTGGAAGCCCCAAGCCCCCAAAACTGGAGGCCCCAAAACCCCCAAACCCTGCTACTACTGTTGATGATAGAAATCCTGCAGGACCTTAAGGACCCTAAACTATGGGAATCATGGTATATTCCTGATTATGGACCACTGCAGGATATATATATATATATCATCAACCGTATTCCTACGAGCTGCAAAACTAAGGACCAAAGCCGGACTTTCGGGCCCTTCGTGGACTCAACGGAGTTTCTTGACATGAGCTCAGGGGTGCCAGGGTTTCCTTCAGGCCTTTAAACGGGTCCGTTAAGGGATCTATAATAAGGGTTTGGATGACCCAAACTTGACTTTTAATCTTATTTTCCACGGGGTCTTCTGAGTTAGTAATATTCGGCCAGTTTCACCTCATGTGTATTTGGCACAGAAGGTTCTACAGCCCTGCGCCGCCGAAGACTCTAAAGGAGCAGGTAGAGGATGCGGCCCTGACAGCCGTGCTTCGCAAAGCCAACAGCCCGATGGGGAAGACCCTGCTTGTTTCATCCATACAGACGATCGCACCCAGATTGTTTGCAAACTCGAACTTCGACACATGCCGCGTTACTGAGACGGAGCAGACTGAGCAGACATTCCTTTCTGACATCTTCACCGTGTGAGAGCAGCGATCACTGTAATCTTTGTTGCTGCATGCATTCCAATGAAGGCGTTTTAAGACGCTGCCACCATCTACTTAGCCCTTCAGTGGCCGAGCGTTTCAGTCACATCGCTGGCCACCCCTTGTAAAGTACTTTCAAGCTTTTGGATCGGCAGCTGCCAAGGGTGCGCAACAGCCGCACAAAGGACACTCATGAACACATGTGTTGAACAGTCCGGGCTTAAAATTTCCTGGCATGCCAAAGCTGAATCAGCAAATCGCCTCCGGATGTGAGAAGAAAAAACACAAGATTGTCATGACCGAAAACAGCACGCCCTGTTTCTGTGCGTCTTGCTCTCGGCAGGTGTGTATATGACCGAAATCTTCCCGACGACTGTCAGATCCGCCGCGCCAGGCCATCCGCAGGTTGCAATCAAGATAGATGACTTAACAGAACAGTTTAACAATCAGCATGCGAGTTGAGGGTGCATTATATTCTATCAATCACAAGGGAACCGTAGGGAATAGCAACGTTCAGGCCCTTGTAACATACATACATATATACGTATATACACATACATACATACATACATACATACTTACATACATACATACATACTCACTCACTCACTCACTCACTCACTCACTCACTTACTTACTTACAGACATACATACGTGCATACGTGCATGCATGCATACATACATACATACACATTGCATGTTGAGGGAACGTCTTCGGAGCACTTGCCAACGGCATCAGCTTCAGGAGTCGGGTTGCGCCATGCTACGGGTAACAAGCAGAGCAAGATCTAGAGGCTATGTTGACAAGGCCGCCATAGGGTTTGGGGCGAAACGGTGCCGTGCATCAGAATGCCACATTCTCCACCCAACGAGCCTGTAAGCTCCTAAACCCGATAATGTGTCCTCCCCATCGGTTCAAGGAGTCATCAACTTCTTTCTGAGCGTCGGGGCCATCACGAGTGCCTCCAGCGTCGGCGAGCTGCTGGCGGGAGGGCTCCAGAAAAACCAAAAGTGCAGGATCAAGCGGCCTACAGTGGAGACTTCGGCTGAGCTCCACTGACACGAGAGAGAGTAGCAGCATGGAGGGGTGCACTTTTGACCTTGGCACCCGACACGTACGAAAGGTGCAGAGCATTCCGCTATGATTCTCGTGCACCTGCAGGTCATTCATCCTGAGCTGCCCATGTTGCTCATGGCCATCGGGATGACGCACGGCCAATTCAACCGCGTCATCCGAACATAATTACAGAAGTTGCTGAAAACTGCAGCTTGCTTGACGCTGCCTGCATACATTTGCACTAGCCGAGACACCCGGGGGTCCGGCCAACAGTAGCTCCCGAATTATTGCGCATGTTGTCTCGCATTGTTCTGGAACGGAAGAAGCTGCGTGAGATGTGAGCTGCAGTCAAGGATCGCCGGAGGTATCCTGATGTATTTCTGCGAGGAGAGCTTTGGGGAACCTTTGCGCCAGGAGCCTACGGATCTGGACAGAGAGTGCCAACCTGACTTCTCACGGGTTCCCTTTCGTCCAAAGTGCCCAGGTCGAGGCTTACTGCAGGAAACGCCGAGTCAGTTGTCCACGGGTTCTAAGGCGACTGCAGTCCTCATGCTGCAGCGAACGCAGCCTCATATGGTGCTTGTGAGAGCTCACCCGAAATCACGGGTTTGCCTTCTTAGCCTCCGCAGCCAAAACCATTGGCTGCCGCCAAAGCACGCAAAAGATGCTGGGAGCAGCATCAGCGGATTGGTCTTCGTTTGAATCTGAAGCTGCTAGGTCCTGATGAGAGTTGCCTCGTAATGTACAATTATGCTATAGTATAATATGATATGATATACTATACTATAACTATAATATGATATGATATACTATACTAGACTATACTAGATTCATGGCCGGGCAAGGCATGAGTAAAGGAATAGATGGGCGAGAGGACGGGCAATTGAGCAGTGGTGTAGCTTGCAACCGTGCGTCCGTACAGCTGATGTGGCTCAAGCTGGATCGCTCGGTACAGTATCTGTTGCTTGCAGTTCAAACTTCAAACACTGAGATGTCCTATGCTTTGGCGTTTTTAGGGCCCTGCACTCACGAACAGCTCCAGACCTGAAAGCTTTCCGGGCGGGCAGACAAAGAATGCTGTGCCATGGAGAAAGCACAGGGCCTAGCTGCCTTCCTGCCTCCGCCTAGGCGTCGTGGAATGACCAGTTTGTGCTTTCAAAGATCCTCATCATTGAACCTATGGGCCTAGAGCCTGCCGGTTTCGAGCCCGGATTGTGAGCGCTTTGTCCAGTGGTCAGGGTTCTTCCAGGCACTGGTGCAGTCTGTAAACTTCCATTAACTCTAGGTTGGATTACGGTGAGTCGGCCGCAGGCCAGCCAAGCCCGGTCCTGATGCTCGCACCCCGCACGAGCTCAGCGCCCTTGAATGCCGCGTGACACGGCTCATTAAATTTCGGCCCCGATTTCAACCTTAGTCACCCGTGCGAGTGTGTGGGAGAAGCAGAGTTGCTGGAGAACCGTGCCAGGGGTCTGCATCGGCTGCGGCACCACGCAGCCCATCACCCACAGCAGCTCTGCCGACGCGGAGTCCAGCACGACGTACAGTAGAGGCTCTAGACGTGAGAGCCAAGTTGGTGCACTCTCCGGTCTCGGCACCACTCACTGGCCCTACGTCTCCACACTTGGGAGCCTCACCGTGCCTCGCGGCAAAGAATGTTTCTCGCTCCTCAGATGTTTCCCTGGCAGCGCCGGCGGTCCTACGTGATGAGACGGAGACATCCGCGTCCGTGCTGCTTGCACCGCCAGCACCGATGTTTCAGGCCTGCTGGTGCGTGTAATTAGGACTTGCAGTGCTCAAAGATTCCGGATTCTATCTATCTCTATCTCTCTCTCTCTCTCTATCGATCTATCTATCTATCTATCTATCTATCTATCTATATCTATAGTGTATATAGACATACACACACATATATATATATACATACACGATGTTGATGCTGTATAGCATGCTCGATCTATGGCAAGCTATGGAATATTCCTTAGATTATAACATTACTTGGGCTAGGGCCCGTTGATTACAAGCTCAGGGGATACTGGAGTAGAGTTTCGGGTAGTTCTTTCAGTCACATTGCCTGCCTCACTGGTACGTTCAGGAGTTCCAGGGCGCAAACCTTCTGGCGCAGGCGGCAGAGTGGGTGAGTGTAGAAATTGTGGACTCGGGGTCCCAGGCATTAGCTCATGTAGCGTTCTGACTCGTGAGAGGAGTCGGCTACACTGCAATGATTGCGTTGTATTCGTCGAGGTGGAGGGCTGAAGCCTTTCCTTGGGATCCCGTTGAGGCGGCAAGCGACGAGTTGGAGCATCTACGTGCGGAGGAGCAAAGCTTGCGGCGCCTTTGGCAGCAGCTACAGGCCCCGCCACAAGGCTCGCACCAAAGTCACGGATTCCTGCCAGGGAGCGCTGCAAGGGTTATGGGTGACAAGTAGGTAAGTAGTGTTGCAAGTACAGCTAATGCGGTGGGATCATGGGTATTCATGGATGGTAAAAGTAGCGTTATATTATAATAACTCTTTGTAACTAGTAGAGGGGTTACGCAAGCATACTTACTTGGAACCCTATCGCCATTGCTAACCGCACATGAAGCGGTGAAAACTCGGACGTGGACAATACAAAGCCCTACACAAACCGCGCTGTGACTTCACCCTAAACCATCAGAACCCCCAAACCCAAACCCTTCGCATGCCAGCCTTGAGCGAGTTTGTGAGTCGAAACCCTTCACTGCACAGCTTGCTTTCCCAACACCTCGCCGGACTCCGTCTAGCACGCGAGCCAACAAATCGTACAGCAGGATTGTATCAGACTGGAAAGTCCAAAGCCCGAAAGCCTTCAATTAATCTCTAAGTACGAAAGCACACAATCTCCAAAACCTTAAATCCTCACACCCTTAAACCCTCCCTCAACCCTGAACATCAGCCAGGGGAAGACCCGACCGCACAAAATGGCCGCCATGCCGAGGCGCAATAAAGAAGTTGGTATCGAACTTGTTCTTTCCAGTGTGGGAGCATCAGGGGGGAGGCAGGGGGAGTAATTCTGATGGGGGGGGTCCTCGACTTTCTAAAATTGTCCCTTTTCTGCGGTTGACGTTGGTTCAGGGTAGTTTTAAATAAGTATAGGTCTTAAGTACTCATGAAGTATATTTTTGGGGTTATGGCCATAGCGATATGTAATATATGCCCTGCTTGAAACAACTTCGAAGCCGAATTATGGTTTCAGTTAGGCACCCTGGACCCACTGGTTTGTGTCTGTGAGGCGCCAGGCAGGGCAGGGCAGGCAATTCCTGATGGGAGGCGTTTCGACGGGAGGCTGCCACAGATGAGCTGCACCTGGCTGAGCAGGACTCCGCATCCTTCGTGAGGTTCCCGCATTCCGCTCAAAAAAATCCAGCATCCTATGCAACAATATCGGGCTTTAGAAAGTCAGGGACCCTGATAGGAACCGGATCCTAGTCAGAAGGAGCCCTAGTGTTTAAAAGCACCGCGATTCACAAGCATCAGAGCTTATAAATCCTATACCAGCACTTTACTAAACCTAAACGCGACAACCCGAAACCCCTGAGCCCATTTGCTGAAAGGAGCTGCGCCGCCTCACCCGGCAAGCCGAGTGCCAGGAGCTTCGCCAAAGACGTGAAGCCGAGGAGCAGCTCAGCTCCGGAAAAAGCTGCCGTACTCAAAAATGCGGAGTACTTTTTCATATTACTCCTTATGTAAGGGTTCCTTACTACCTAAACCCGCTATTCTAGTTATTCCGGCCTTATGTGACCTTATGTAATATAGGTGCCTGAAGAATTATATAGAACGGGGTTTTGGGGTACCGGGTAGGTAATATGGGCAAGCATGCTGGCATGGGCTAATCGTAATTACGGGCCAACTTCAGTGGCCATATACCTTATACGATGAAGCCCTACACTTCTTTGTTCTGGTACGTGGGTGGTATATATGAAAGCACGCTGCAGCGGCAATCAAGGAATCGTCAAGGGCTGAGCATGAATGAGGCCAGGCGCGGAAGTAGGTAATTACCAAGATGCCCGTAGGCCTATTTTCAGCCCACCGCCCCAAACCTAGAGCCTTTATAGCCAACGAGGCGTCGGAGGCCCCTAATCCCTCCTCCTGCAAGTATTTCTGCCTACGATCCTTAACGCCGGAAGCCTTGAGTCACTTCGCTGAGGTGGCGTCAGGCTGCTTGGATAAATAGTTTTTGATTTTATCCTGCTAAGAAAACATCATTCATGCTTTGGGCTCGACCATCAAGATCCCTAAATCCACACATAAGGTGCTTGAAATCCTGTCCTAAACCGATATCAAGCCTAAACCGTTGTAAACCCAAGGCCTGTGCCATAAAGCTCGTCCAGGCGGTAGAGAGCCCAATTAGCCCCGAAACCTGACCCCCGAGCAGCAGGCACCGTGCGCAAACTCGCAACCCTTGCGACTTGCAACCCGAGACCTCTCACAGCACACCGTCCTGCAGCTGCATCACGCATGCAGCATCAACGATCGTTAGAAATAGTGATGGCGAGATACTGTTCATGCGAATCCTACAAGGGCCCCAACAAACCCAACAAGAAGCCTAAAAAACGAACACACCGAACCCCTGTAAAACCCTTGCACGAGCGTGTAAAAGGCCTTGTCAAAGCCCCCCAAAGAATCGAATCCTGTAATTAAGCCCGACAGCACACTATAAAGACGTCCTACAGTCATAAACCATGAGGCCCGGTACAGGCTCCATGAAGTCATAAAGCCTTATGGGCAGTTCTCTAAGTTAGGGTCCCGTTTAGGTCCCCAATATAGCACGGCACCCTTCTAAGAAGGACCCTCAAAGGAACCCTACTCTTAGAAAGCTACCCATATGAACAGAAAAAGGACCCCAATAGGGACCCTACTTTTAGAAAGCTACCCATATGAACAGAAAAAGGACCCTCAAAGGGACCCTACCTTTAGAAAGCTACCCATATGAACAGAAAAAGGACCCTAAATGGGTTAGAAAGCTACCCATATGAACAGAAAAAGGGCACTAAAAGGAACCCTACCTTTAGAAAGCTACCCCTATGAACAGCAAAAGGACCCTAAAAGGAACCCTAGCTTTAGAAAGCTACCCAAATGAACAGAAAAAGGACCCTAAAAGGAACCCTACCTTTAGAAAGCTACCCATATGAACAGAAAAAGGACCCTAATAGGGACCCTACTTTTAGAAAGCTACCCATATCACAAACCAATGAAGCCCGGTACGGACTCTATGAAGTCATAAAGCCTTATGAATCGCAAGCTCCCAAGGCTTACTGCCAGGCGCGAGATGCGGCCTCGAAAGCCCGTCGCGCGGAGGCGGTGCCTGGGCCGCGGAGATCTTGGGATACTTACAGTAGGGTTTATCTAAGGGATCCTTTAAGGAATCCTATAAGAGTTTATGTGGTTAAGGCTTATAGGGCCGTCATGGCGCTTAGGGCTTAAGGCTTAGGGGCTTGAGGGTGCAAGTTTTAGGGTTCAGGGTTGAGGGTACACTTATCCTTCTCAGCCGGGTTCAAAGTGTCAGGGAGTTTCGGGGTGTAGTGCTTACGGCGAACATGCAGGTCTCCAGAGTTCCTGAGGTTCAGCCTTGGCTTTGCTTTCGTCTTCTTGTCAAGGAGAAGAAAGGGTCTAAGTAGGGCTGGTGCCCACGTTGATAACGTGCAGTTCGTCAAGAGTTGGGTTTCCAGGCCTTTGCTACAGTAGTGTTGGCTATGTTGCTCAGAAGAGCTCAGTTCGCATATGAGCTTTGCTTTGTCGCAAGGTTCATCTACAAAGGCCGCGGCCTTTTGCACAAATGCATCGGCAAGTGAAATAGACACCGCCGCCCGCCTTGCGCAAATCATATTTAAAGCTGCCTGTATGGAGTCAAGACTGTACCGTGAGTTCTTGTGTGCACCCTTGATACACCCGGATGCGTCAGATCCCTAAACCCTAAACACCTCCCTGCAAATCTATGTTCTTCTTGAGGAATCAGCTGCCGAGCTTCGGCAGCTGCCCCTGAGCTGCGGAAAGTGTTGGGTGTCCAGGGGAACATTTCTACTGCGAACTATAGTCGTAATGTTCAGCTTACTCACAAATTTCAGAGCAGTACTGTCAGCAAGCATACTGATATCAAAATAATAAGAAAAAACTAATAATGATGATAGGAGTAAATAACAAGTTACTACAGGTAGTATCAGCAAGCAGTGGCAAACAAGAAATAACAAGCAAGACCCACCTCACAAGAAACAGAGCACAATAAAGAACATTCAAGAAATACAGTGTTTCAAATCATAAACCAAAACATGATAAATACATATAAAAAGGCCGAGAAGAACAGTAATAGTTAATAGTAATACTCATAGTAGTAGCATTTGGCAATAATTAAAAACTAACGATGAAAGGGTCGACCGCAATAGAATCATACTGGACAGAATAAGAATAACGGTAGTAATAATAATGGTACCCATAGCGGTAGTAATTTAATGCTAACGCCACACTCACAGTGAATGGAGTAACAATCGCAATGTGAGTAAGGACAATGTGAATAACACTAATAATAATGAGAATAGAAATGATAATCATAATGAGAATACCGAACTAACAATAGCAATCGTAGCAGCCACAATGTTAATAACAACAACATGTATTATACCGTATACCAAAAATAGTAGTAAGAATAGTACTGCTAGGAACACCAACAACACTAACAATGCTAAGAACGACAGTTAACACTTAGAAGAACAACAATAAAATACGCATATTGACACATGTGCTTTCGTTTGAAGGGCTAAAGTTCACATCTTAAGTTCTTCGGTCCCGATGGAAGGGGTTAAGGTTCGGATTTTCATCGCCGGCGAGGTGCGCCGAGAATTGCACCCCGAATCCGAAACTCCGAAGCCCTGAAACCATGAACCGACCCTCGAGATGCTCAGGGAGCAGCAGGTGGTCTCTTTGCGGGAAGCCTCAGACCAGGTTGGCCTTTGCTGAATGTGTGTAGGCCCTGGTAAGTTTGGGAAACAAAGGTTCAGGATCAGGAGCATGTAAGGTCATGGCTCTGTATTTCCTTTGGAGAAGTCATGTGACCTTTTTTGGTTGAGGGGGGTTGCGTTGAAAGACCAGGTTGGGATAAATCAGCATGGGTTTCCATGAGACATCTGCGGTACCAATAGCAACACAATAAATGGCAAAACAACGACACCATTCATCATCTTCAACGAAAACAGATCCGAAACGTGAAATACTGATGCTGGTTGTTGCCTGGTAGCACTCGACAGGCCGTTACCCCCCCACCCAGAATTCTTGCACTGATATTATGATGCTAGTGCGCGCACCTTGTTATGCTAGACACTCTACACTTCTATACTCCATGCCTGCACGGCTACTCTATTTGATGCCACCATGACGGCGACCACGACTACTATTACTACCACTTTTGCTGCAGCTACTACCTCTACTACCATTCTCATTGCCACTGCCACTGTCGCTACCACTACCCCTATCACTATCACCATCGCGCGGGGAGTCTTGAGTGATCAGGTTCGAGCTCTAGCAACTCACAGTCGGACAGGCGTGTTCTTTGTTGCTTTTTGCCTCTGCTTTGCGCCCGAAGTGGCGGGCCAGAAGGCCTTCTGTCAAAGGCAAGGGCAACGGTCAAGGCACAGGTAAAGGTAACTGGTCAGCTATTGGGTGAGCTTACTATCAGGCCTTCTAGCCTCGGCTATGGTGCTTGCGACCCCTGCGCAAAGCCACAGACGACCTTCTTTGTGAACATGTTTTGAGAAGTGATGACTTGAATACGGTTGGAGTCCCCCATGACGATCCACTGAATTTCGGGTTGTGGGTGAGCTGGTGGTGAGCCTATACTATGGTCTTGTTGGAGTGTCTAACACTGGCTTGCTTCTGTGATACGGTGGACCTCAGATTCCCCGCGCAAGTAGTATCTCCTAGCACCGGACAGTTGCGTCGTTCCGAGGA